CCACACGGCCCCCCGCTGAATCCCCTCCAGTAGCTCCTCATCTTTCCTGAAGGGGGGAGCCCAGAACTGGACACAGGACCCCAGATGGGGCCTCACCAGGGCAGAGCAGAGGGGCAGAAGAACCTCCCTCGACCTGCTGGCCACACTCTTCTTGATGCATCCCAGACGCCCACGGCTCACCCATCCTGTCTCTGGGCAGCAGCGATCGGCGCTGAGCGTGGGGTGAAGCCAGCACACGGGCTGGCGAACACCACTGCTTCGGCGCAGGAACCCCAGTGGAACACGGGACGTGGGCAAGGTCTCCCAGCAGCCCTGTCAAGGGAGGGAGAGCTGACGGGTCACCCCTCGCAGCACCCCGCAGCCCAGGCACTGCGCAGATGAAAAGCAAGGCGCACCCTCCGCACCCCCGCGCGCGTGGAACCCGCGGAGAGCCCCGAAGCAAGGCTGCTGTCGGGGTGGGTTGTACTTCAAGAGCTCCTTTGAGCCTCTCTGCAGGAGGCCCCTGAAAAGAGATGAAAGGACTGGTGGCTTGTTAGAGCCAGGCCTGCGAAGTCCTTAACCCTTTCGCTCTCTGCTCAGTATGAACTCAGAGCTGCCAGGTCTCCCTGTGCGGGGCGTGCGCGCGTCTCCGTGTAGCAGCCCCTCCTAACACCCCACAGCTCAGAACTGCAGCACAGCGAGAGGAGAGGAGACGGCTCCTTAGCAGGGGAGCTCCCAGAACGCGAAGGAGCCTTCAGGTACCAGTGCTGTCCGTAATTCTGCCCGACCGCCCTACTTACTGTCTGAGTCACTGTCGTCTTCCAATTCTTCCTCGTCCTCCTCGATTTCATACTTTCCTTCTTCTTCATCATCGTCCTCGCCGTAGTCCTCGCTGCTTGCTTCCGAACTGTCGTCTGACGCTTGCTTGGCTTTGGCTTTACCTGCAAGTATTGACACCGTGTAAATGCAAACAGAAAGAGCAGCACACAGGCATCCCCGCGGGCAGGAGATGCAAAGTGTCGCCACCCCCGTGTTCATCCACCGGAGCAGTCGTACACACACTACAGGGGAATTTGGCTGTATGTCTCCAAAAGCCACATCCCCTTGCACTAGAGGCCCAGAGGAGGACGCAGTTTATTTCAGAGGCACCTGCTAGAGGCCAGGAAGGTCACGAGATGGAGAGAAAACACCTCAGAAGCCCATAGCAGGGTTTTACTGCTCAAGCCCAGGATTTGCTGCCAGCTGGTATTTCTAGAGCACCACTGGCGCAGCACCCAAGCGCCCGGCACGAAGATACCTAGCTGTCTGCCCGGCTCAGGGAGACATGAGAGC